GTCTGAAAGTTTGCAACATTGACACAGAAAAGCCCAGGAATGCTTGCGTGTGTTAAGTGTGCTTTGGATGGATGTGCAAGAGCAGTGTGTATGTGATATACATAATGTGATAAGGGTTGTGGAAAGGCTGTGGTGCAAGTGGCTAAAACAGGTGTGTCAGCAGAAAATGTGGTAATGATTGTGCTATGTATGTTAGGGTGTTCTGTGTTGTGATATATTGTGTGGAAGGGCATTTAATGTGTAAGGGCCACATGATGTGTTTTTATGATATACACAACATGTCTGAGCTTTTATGTGACTTGTAGTGTAGTGACTATATATTCATGGGCTTATGTCATATATTTATATTGTCGTTTACATAGGAATAGTATGTATAATAACTGTCTAATGTGTTTATAACTGAGAGTGAAATAAATTGTGTATTGTTTTATGTAGAAAAGTAGTATGTCTACTGGTGTGTATATATATTGTATTAAAAAACTTGACGGGGATGTGTATGAGTGTGTGCTTGTGTGTGTGTGTGCTTGTGTGTGTGTTTGTGTGATGTCCGATTGGGTGGTTAAGTATGTAGTATTTCTAAAGGACACATGGGATTGTGTTTTATTGGTATACATGCCCTAAGTAGGCACGCATATATAGCTCAGCCCCTGGACTGTTAAAATGTTGGCTTTCGTGTACAAACCTGCATATAGGAATAACTGTCACTTTCAGGGAAACCTAAGGTAGGTGCCAGCACCAGAAATGAAATAGATTTAGCTGTTTTCTTGAGGTCGCACTGAGCCAACATGTGTGCTATGGAGTCTGGGGAGGGTCCTTGTAAATGAGGATCCTTGGTCTTCTACACTGAGGTGTCAAGATAACACAGAAGGGAGGATAGAGCTGGCTCTCAGCCCCGAGGCAGCAGTGCAGGCAGATGAGGAAAAGGTAGAATCCTGCCTATGGTCTCACCCACCCAGCCATCCTCACTCTGTCCTTTTCATTTTGTGTCAGTGTCAGGGAGGTGTTCGCAGGTGTTAGAAAGACCCTGCTAAACCCCAGAGCAATGGGAAAGGTGAATGGGTTGAAGAAAGCTGCATTGACTCCAGAACTATATCTATGGGGATCACCTCCTGTGAAGAACTCCCTTTAGTGGGTCAGGTACTAGAACTGTGTCTGAGACAGGGCATCTCCTGTGAGGGACTCTCTTGTGAGCATCAGGGACTTGACCTGTGTCTAAGGAGCCAAATCCTCCTAGGTATTTTCTTGGGTGGTTCAGGGACCAGACCTATCCCTTATATCCTAGCCCTTGGTCTTGAGTTCTTTATTAGCACACCAGAGAAACAGAGAATAGACTTCATGCTCAGAATCAAAGTCAACCCTAACCCTGTGCAGATAGGGCCCTGCCTCTCCTACAATGCCCATGTGGATTCGGGAGTGTGTGAGGTCTCCAAGCAGGAAGGTTTCAGCTGAGCTGGCATAGCTCAGAACAGGGATGGACTCTCATGACTTGGGACTTGTTGCATCACTGATTGCAGTAGGACTCCTAACTTCTCAGGATCCTTCCCAGCTACATTAGCATGGATACTCAGTGACCATAGATGATGGTCCACACGATGTCGCTGTATGATAAGGGCCTGAGAATTCCGTCTTCAAGGTAGCCCTTCATGAAAGGTGAGAGCAGAGAGAACATGGCACCCAACTCTCCTGTTCCAACAATTTAATGTTCTCCTTGCAGATCCCTCTCAAGTGAATGTCAATGGACGAGGATTTAAAAATGCAAATGACCTGACCAAGTTATTTGCAGGTTCACTTTCAGTGACTCCAGGGTTGTTGGTAAGTAATGCATTGGTATCCCAGTTCCCATGAGGTACACATTACCATTCACAATCATTCTTCAAAGTCAGCCATGCCTTCTGCTCTTGCAGACCACGCACAATGGGGGAAGCTATAGGTAGCATGGACCAATGGAAGGAGGACCAAGCACCATGCCTATTCCCATCTCTCTTCACACACACAGTGAAAGAATAAACCCCAGCTCTGGAGCCTGGCATGACACTGGCCCATCGTCACTACAGCATCCATTTAGCCTTTTGTTGTTCCCCTTCTTGAGGTTCTAATCCCACAAGATGGCCTCCACAGATGCCACAGGCAGAGCCTCCTGACTGAGCATGAAAGATGTCCAGCAGGTCTTTCTGGAAAGTCATTCATTACAGCACACAGGGGAAACAAAGGACTGGGAAACTGGAAGCCTAGCCAGTGGGGGTACAGCTCAGCTCTTGGCTTTTGCTCCAGCTCAGGGGACTGGGAATAGAATGTGTGTTGAGGATTAGCAGCTTCAGCCAGAGTTACAGAATTCCTCTCAGACTCCCAAAGGAGGAAAAGAAAAATGTTTATTCCCTTATGAGACTTCTCCAGCTCAGCAAACAACACAACTCCCCACCCACTTCCTTGGTCTAAACCTGGTTGCTATTCTTGCTCCTCTTCTCCTATCCCTGTACCCAGGCCACCAGCGCTTCATGCTGCCTTTATCTGGAGACTCCATGGCGCCTGACACATCCATTGTACTAGAAGTACCACCCAAACTTATTCCCATTTGCCTCTCACCTATCTCTGAGCCTCCAACCCTAAGGTCATTTCCTGGCTGCTCCCATCTCAGACATCAGCACTTCACAGGAAATCAGTTTCAGTGCACATGGTCTACCAAACACAAATGTACCAAAGAGTACATGGGCTTGAAGCACCCATAGCCACTGCCCAGGAGTTCACAATCCACACCGTGTAGCTCCCCCACAGTCTCGCCACTGTGTATCTTTAGCTAAATTCCAACTTATATAAACACTTATTCTTTAAATAAGAAATTATATCTTTAAAAGAAGGGACTCATCACCAGTAACTGAGCATCTGACCTCTCCCCAGGATGCCCCACCCCTCTACTTCCCATGTCACAGCACACTGCACTCTTTTATATTGTCCTGTGTGTCTTCCCTCTCTCCCTTCCTCTCCCTCTCTGTCTTTCTCGCTCTCTCCCTCAATCACCAACAAGTGATCCTTGGGTACAGGATATGCTTGCTAGGTAACAGAGTGCTGTTCAGGAGGGGGCATAGTTGGAACTCCACACTTGCCCTTGAACAAAAAGAGGCAGAGGGAGTAAGCAGGCATCAGCCAGTGTCAGCTCTCAGACAGAGGGTGACAGTGGAGGAAGGGCTCCCTATTGATAGTCTTATGCCAATTTCTTTTAGATGAAAGCACTAGAGAAATAACTAATAACACCATAAATTGTCCTGGACCGAAGATACAGCATACTGGCAAGTAAGTGTCCCTTGCTAAAGTCCTTCTCTAGGAATTCCTAGATTTGTGTTTCCCAGCTTTAGCGAAACTGGGGTGTGTCCTCTGCTATAAGCACCTGTCTGCATTATATGGGTTCCATTTCCTTTCTACAAGACTCTGTTAGTGACCCTGGAGGTTCTTAGGAATACACAGTGCCCAGGCACTGATGAGGGCAGGATGGAGTAGATGATGGGTTCCAGGGTTCAAACCGGCGTTTGAATATCTTCCTGATTCCTTAGCTCCTGCTCATTGTGGTCATATGACATGAAGACCCCCTCTGGCCTAATCTGCAGCCTTCGCATCCCTGCAGTGCTTGAGTCTTTATGCTTTGGGTAATAGAGTTCCTCTACCTACCTGTTCACTGTCAGGGAGGCCTGTGCTGAATTTCAGCATCATTACACTGAGGACTGATGTGTGTGACACTTTCAACAAACTGAGTCTCTGGGGCAATTCCGTCATGTAGTCTCTCTTCCATGCATTAGGGAAGTGTCTCTTGAGGTGAGTCTGAACAACGGCATCTCCTTCATTGGCAACAGACTCGTCATCACCGGAACCAACTGTGGGAGTACCAAGGTAAGAACCCAGAGTTGATGCAGATCCACCTAGAGGAGAAAGATGGTCACAAGAGGCCTGGAGGTGACCACAAGTACTGTAGGTAGGCTGTAGCAGCTTATAAAGAGTCATCATGGACAGGTATGAGACTGGCAGACACTGTCTAGGACATGGAGGGCACAAGACAGCTCCATATGCATGCCCAGGAATCCAGAATTTGTACAGTAGCAGACAAAATATGTACCAGTGCATCATATACCCAGCAGCTGATATGGACTTAAATCTATGCATCCTCAGTCCCCACCCTCTGCCCACCTTGTCCCCAAACCTAACAGTGTCCTCAGGTCCCCTCTCCTCTCCAGCTGTGGTGGGGAAGCTGTCTGTCACGTGGAACACTCAGCACAACAGGGCCCCTGAGAAAGAAAGTGCTACTCCTCAAGTGCTCCACATCTGTCCATTTCCACATCTGTCCTCCAAGCACCTGAGATCAATGCAGTGTAACTAGAAGGGGAGGGGGAGAATCCAAGGAGAAGAAGCTTTGATCCCATTTGTGACAAGTCTGGAGTTGTTACCAGGATTCAGAGGGAGGAGGGGCAAACTATGTCAGGCAGAGCAGGGACAAAGTGATCGGCCACATCCACTATCCCTACACCTCTGTAGAGACCCAGCAGCCTGAACCTCTCCTAGAGATCTAATCACCTTCATTGTAGTGTGAAGTCAACCAAGGCCACGGTGAGAACTGATCTCAGGCCATAGAAAATCCTGAGTCATCCTCTTCTAGGTTCAGGGCTGGGCAAGATTGGCTGTTCTCTCTGAAGACCAATCTGGGTCACTAACTCCACTGTAGCCCTTGTGTCTAGCCAATCCTGATGAATGAAGAGAGTGTGTGTACAAATGGGAAGCAAGGTGTGAGTCCAGGGGAAGAAGCCACTCTTGCTTTTTGTCACAGGGAGCACTTAATAGCAGGAGCCTTGACATCAGTAAAAGCCACCAGCAGCCCCATAGCCAGCAAGCCACAAGCAAAAGTTCCAGACCCAGTTTCACTTGCTACAACACAAGGCAAAGCCATCAATACACCAAACATGTCAGCAGGAGGCGGCTTTATCTTTAACTGGAATTGGCTTATTCTTCTGCTGGTCTTTCTGGTGGCAATCATGTTGCTGATCTGCTGTTGCAGGCTATGCTGCAAGAAGGTTAAGTCTCCTGGCCCCCTCCACCCTCTCCCTCTCCCTCTGTCTCCCACTCCCACACCCTGGCTCCCACACACATGCCCCGTCTCCAAGGAATAGTGTCATAAGGCAGTACTATATCCAGTCTGGTGGAAATTTCCCATCTGACCAAGGGACTAACAGCATCCATGGGACACACGAAGTGTCAAATATAAACATCCAAGTCCTGGCTTCCAAGAATTGTTCAGTATAGCTGAAACAGGAAATTTGTCTGCGATGCTTAGCCTGAAAACGAAGCCCTGCACAGTGGCCATCCGAGTACCCTTAGGTCAGGGCCATCTTGTATCCACTATACATTTATAGGCCTCATGTGGCCAAACCCCAGAGGTGCCCCTTTACTTCAGGGCAGGATCCCTTACGTAGTCCAGTGGCCCCATATGCAGGGTGATGGCTTTGAGGCATGATTAGGAAGCACTAGGTCAGAGATACCTTTGACACCAATCCTTTCCTGACCACAGTATGACATGCAACCCCTTACTGGGCTGCAGAGGCACAAAGAGAAAGCAGAACCACCCTGCCCCACCAGGAAATGCAGTTACCATTCAGGCTTTTGGTATAACACACACATCCAGAGATGTCACCAGGGCTTGGCCAAAGCACAGCAGGATGTGGGGATGGTACTGGCATCTGGGACAGGGTGAAGAAGAAGAAGAGCTAGGATAGAAAGAAGAGAGCTGGAGGAATTGGAAGCACAGGCCTGGGAGGTGGGGGCAGGTGGCATTTAGTACATAGCTCTCAGGGCCCATCTCTTCCTGGAGCTGCAGTGAGCAGTGAAATCCAGGGACTAAATTAGAGGGTGAGGAGGCTGCAGGAGGAATGGGGAGGCTGAGTGACAGTGAACTTCTACCAATAGGAAGGGTGAGTGTGGGCTCCACTGCAGCTGGGCTCAGACACATGTGAGGCACTCCAGCTGTGGGCCTCTCCAGGGACAAAAGGTAGGACCAGATAGCCTCTCCCTCATTGGAGAGGGATGGGGATGCCTCTGGCAGTTAGAGCGCTCTGGACACAGCACCACAGCAGGCAACAAGCACCCACACAGGCCATGTTGTCGTTCTGCTCCAAGCCAAGGTCCCCTCTATTGGCAGGACCAAGGCAGCGCCCACCCTCCCTCTCCAGCCCACTTTTGTCTGTTTTACATTCCAGCCTAAGGAGCCACCACCACCGCCACCTCCACCACAGCCAGAGAAGGTGAGTTGGATGGGGAAGAGGGTGACAGTCACACTGACCTTTCTTAAGGGATATCATGAAGCCTGACCTCAGAATCCCTCACTACTTTGGCAGTGAACAGGGGGGAATGCAGATCAATGATTGTAACAGAAAACCGCAGAGCTCAAACTTATGTCAACTAGACAATACCATCACCAGTCTCCAAGCATTTCCAAATAATCAGGGCTTTGGAGACTTCATCCAGCGAGTACAGCTGTCCATTGCTGAATTGGAGTTTTACAAAGGATCCCATAAGGCTCTCTGTAGAAGGCCAAGGATGCAAACGGTTTCTTAGTATAGGAGCTGCATAAGTCAGAGCCAGGTCTCCATATACAAGTTCAGAGCCTTTGGGATTCGGTACAGCTATCTCCATCTCTGGCTGGTATGGCTAAGGGTTTCACTGTGTACAGCCTAGGAATCCCAGGGCTGATGAAAAGAGAGGATATTGAAACTGACTATCAGCTATGAGGGATGTTCCTAGCTGAGCACAAGGACCAGGATGCAGACACCACTGAGCCTTCCTCAGGGTAGGGACCAGAAGAGGTAAAGAAAAGCTGCAGTACACAGATCCCGGACCTGGGCCTGTGCTGGGGTGGCAACAGCTTTCCTATCCACATGGGACAGGGCTGGTTAGTGGGAGCCCTGGGCGCCTGTCCTGTAATGACCATGGCCTGGTGTGGGAGAATGCTACCTCCATTGCCTAGCCTCTGCACAGCCTGCTGGCTAGGTCTCTCCCAAACAAGAGTGACCTCAGCAGAACAAAATACAAGGCTATTGGCATTGTGAGAAGCTCAATATCTGCAAATCAGAGGGCTTTGGTTACACTTCTCAAGGATGACCTCTCCAGGGTGTGCATTACAGCCTTCCATTCACTCTACAGCATTGGCTGTCTGACCACCCCGTAGTGCCATTGTATGTAAGGGACTCTTCTCAAGACTGCAGGCAAGACACAGACCATCTCTTTTCACTTGCAGGATCCAGAGGAGAACCAAACCCCTCATTCATCACCACCTGCTCCTCCTCCTCCATCTCCATCACCTGTCAACCCAAACCCTACTGTGATCGATGCATGCTGTGGCTGTGGAAACAGGGGTAGAGATGACTGGGTTGTGTAGAGAGCTGCAAAGTGCCACGCCTTAAAGATGGCGCTGGCTTCTGCCTTCCACCTTCCTGATGGTGAGCACTCTCTGTTGTAAACAAGTCCTTATTTGGCTAAACCTGTTCAGCTTGCTGCTTCCCTATAAGAGCAGCCTATCTGCAGGGTCTATGTGGCTCACTAGGGTTGGTCAGCACAAGGGGAGTTAAGCCTGTGTGGGCCTTTCCCAGGGGTCAGAAGAAGAAGCTTGTTCAAGGATCTTGAATAAACTGCTTGAAGAAGATCTTGCCTGAGTTGTGTCTTTCCTTCTGGTTGAGGTTGGACGGGACAACTGGTGGCCTGTACTGGGATGGAGATCAGAACTTCTTGCAGTCAGGGCAGCGCTGGTAAGTTCTCAAGGTAAGGTGGGACAATAAAGACCGTGGGAAATAAGCGGCAATAAGGTTCCCTAGGAAGAGTGGGAAAATAAGGACCGTGGGCATAAGCGGCAATAAAGTCTCAGGCATTGAGGGAGAGGTTCTAGCGAACCGAAAGTAAAATCTTTTAAAATGGGGACATCTCAGTCTCATCCATTTTTTCTGGCTCTTCAGGGGCTATTTTTGTCAAAGAAACTTAAAATAAAGAAAAACACACTGGAAAGGTTTCTGGGCCAATGCGAAGCCATTGCACCTTGGTTCGCAGTTTCGTTTCGGGAGACCTTAGGTTAGTGTGCTGGTACAAGTTAGGCAGGGATCTTGACTTTGCTTGGGAATAAGGGACACTAAAGTCCCAAGTCAGACCTATTTGGATATTAGTGCATTGCTGCATTGAGGACCAGAAATGCTGTAGAGAGGCGGTGGAAAAGGGGCAAGCTGAACTAGAAGTGCTACAAGAAAAAAGTTCAGAAGAGGTTAAGAGCACAGGGGAGTCTGATAAGGTTGAAACAGTCTGAGGAGGAATTGCAGGCCCTCTTAGAAAAGGTTCAGAAACAATCCCTTAGAGAACGAAGAGGGGAAGAAAAGGAGAAATGGTGATGTAAGGAGTAGGAGGATCCCCCCTGAATATAGCCCTTGGTGGTGCCTCCTTATCAGATGGAGGAAGGGCGGGGCTAAGGGACAGGACATTCCTTTTGCCCTGAGGTCTGGAGAGCAGTGCAAACTGACCTTGGTCTAGCTTTTCCAGTTTTCCAGGATGCCCAATGTTAGGAACTGGCAGCCAGCTGACCCCCGCCCCCCCGACAATGGGTGGGATGCTCATGGCTGTGTCATGGCTATGTCAGCCTTACCTGGCAGCTCAAGCTTTACCTGGCTGCCAGAGGACTCAGTTATGCATGCTCAAGCCTCCCTTTTAAAGCAAGCATGCCAAGAGTGCCTCTCTCTCTGGTTCCCTCTCTGGTTTCTCTCTTGCCCCCTCTTGCTCTCTCTCTCTCTCTCCCCTCTCCCTCTCTCTTCCTCTCTCTCCCTCCCTCCCTCCTTCCCTCTCTCTCTCTCTCTCTCTCTCTCTCTCTCTCTCTCTCTCTCTCTCTCTCCTCTCTCTCCTCTCTCCTCTCTCTCCTCTCTCTCTCTCTCTCTCTCCTGCTTTTGGTCGGCCACCAGTTCTCCCCTCTTTCTATCCCTTCTCTCAATAAACGCCAGGTGGGTGCTGAGTCTCCTGTTTGTGTTTCTTAGGCATTAGCTGAGCAGCAAAAGAACAACTTGTTGCAGAAACCCAGGCAGGCTCTCCTTCAGGGTCACTGGCAGCTGTCTGCTGGCCAGCCAAGACACTTGGGATCCTGTTTCTGATTCCAGTGGTCCCCCTCCATTCCTCCCCCCTCCCTTTTCTGGAAATACCACCCCACACTGGCTTCAATTAGGTAAGGTATCCTTTTAAATTTTAACCCATTTCCTTAAGGTCAGATACATTCCTTAAGGGTGGAAGACATACCTCCCGTGGCGGTATATCTGCTCTGCTCTCGGACTGCTGAGTCCTTCTGGCCTCTGTTGGGCCTGGCAACGTTTTCCGGCTGACGAGCTTTGAATAACGCTCTGCCATTCTTGCTTATCGTGTGGCCACACTCTTGAGCTGAGGAGTTCCAAGATTGCATGGTCACCCCTCACCACTCCACTGGGATGCCTGATAGATGTCACTTGTTATTTACCTTTGTACTGAAAAATGGCCTAGATATCCCCTAAAAAATAATCCAAATTGGCCATGTAATGACTCTCTAGATCCTGATATTTTACTGGATCTTTCAAATTACTGCCAGCGAACGGTTAGATGGAAGGAGTTTTTTCTATCTCTCTGCTAAACAATCTCTTACCCTAAACTTGTTTTTGTTCTCTTCCCGCCAAGCTAAAACTCTCCTGCCCGCCTCAGCTGAAGCCTGTCTCAGGGCAGTAGGCTGGGCTGAGGCAGCATCTACTCAAGACAAAATTTTATCTCAAAACTTTATGATTTCTGCCAGCTCTTGGGGATATGTTTATGGCAGCCACCCTCTGGACCACTTGGCCTAGCCTCCCCCTCCCCCCCATGGTTCTTCCCTCTGCTAAATCAGCCACCAAGGTAGAGGGAGTTTAGCCAGCTTCTGCCGCCAACAGAACCTGTAATTCATTTACCTTTTGCTTTTATTCTTTGTCTCTAATTTCTTTTTTCACTATGTTGCACATAGCTTCACACTCTGGTCCTTCTCATTTTTACCCAGTCCTGTTAAATATATCTGTACATTTGATTTAAACTTAACTTTATTGAAATGTAAGCTAACTTCATACTGAAAGAACAAAAAAAGTAATGTTAATGATGGACTGACCTGGAAACCAATATCTGTTCCTTGGAATTTGCTAACTTCCTCTCACAAAGCCCTGAGATAAGAAGAATTCACACTGCCCCTCCTTTCCTGTGAGTCAACAGGTGGTGAATAGGGTCCTTAGGAAACAAAGAGATAGCTGCAACTCCAGTATGCCCAGAAAAATTAATTAGCACACCCCGAGGCCCTAAGGTCTGTTGACCTTAATAGCAGACCATCTGGCCCCCAAGAGTCACATACTCAGTGGACAGAGGGCCCCACCCCCTCCCTAAGCTTGTGGGTTTGCCTTTAAAAGCACATGGACCCAGGGGAGGGGGTTTCTCTTGCTGGAGGAGCCCATTTGCCCAAATGTTTCCTGTTCATTAAAGCCTCTTGCGTTTTGCAGCAACTGGACTGGACATTGAGTTCTTGGGGTATCGACTGAACCTGGAAGACTCCTCATTCTGAGGGTCTTACAATACAACTTAAATTCATCTGTACTCTAAATTGTTAGATGCCTTTAAATGGTGGTAAACATTTAAGGTTATAAATGCCTATTTCAAGCTAACAAAATATTTATGCCACTCAGTCTTTCCTGTAAGCTGTTTATAAAGGTTATGCCTCTATTATCAAAGGGAGTTTTTCTCTACCTCTTTGTCCTCTACAGGTATAAGTCTAACCTACTAAGTTAAAACCAGTTACAGTCAGGCTGCAGGGCTCTGAGTAAAACATCCCTCCACAGCCTCTCAGCTTGGGTCCAGTTTTCCAAACAGATTAATTAATTACAGGGATAAAGCCTTACCTAGCCACCTATGTGCTTAAGGCTATTAACTAAAGACAAATTTTGTATACTAAGGTATGCTAAACAATCAGCAGCCCTCAAATGCTCAGAGATCTAGAGAATATGGCATTTAAAATGTTTCATTAAAATGCTTTTATAACAGAGAGACAGGCCAGCTGCTGGCACCACTCATTTCCTTCAAGAAGACTGATGGACACTGAAGAAGCTCCACCCACTAAAGTGGCAACAGTAGCCACTGAGAAATCCTGCTGTTCATCTCAACTGCTGAAAAAGGCTGTAAGTACCATGGACAAGAGGGCAGTGGAATCGCCTTTCTCCACGTAGTTTGGGCCAATGGTAGGTAA